AGCTTTCAGCTTCTCCTCAACGCCACTGCATCTTTTGCGCTCGAGGTCTACTTCCCCCCGAACCTTCTCCAACTCGCCGGTCAGCTGGGTCACTTTCCCTCGGATTGCCTCCAAATCCTCGACCGCTTTGTTCAGACGGAACTGCGTGAACGTGAGATCCCCTTGCAGCTTCGACAGTTCCACGGTCGAGCAACTCTCTTCGCTCAGAACCATCGCCGTGGTGAAAGTCCGCATCAACGCAGCCAAATCCTCAGTCAGGACCTGCCTCCTCGTTGCATGGTCAGCGCCCAGGATCGCCTTCACCTCTCCCGCCGGAATGCTGGGCGACCTAGCCCCATGGAAGTAGCCGGGATGCTGGTGACAGGGAGTGATGGGGTAACCCTCTGCGGAAGACTCCGCCGACAAATCGACCACGGGCGTATCCTCCTGAACTCTCGCTCTCATCGGAACCCCTTGGGAAGTAGGCGACTGGCTACCGGTCGGGGACGCCGACGACCCTCTTCCATCTTGCTCGGCAGAAGACTGCCCGGCCAACTGAGCCATCCGCGTCTTCGGAGGGGCAGCGGCCCTCGACATGCGCAACTTCTTCACTCACTCCTCGACAGAAGCCATGTTCCCTGCACGACAAAAGAAAACTAGTCAGTAAAAAGCTAAGGATATCAGGGCGAAAGGGAACGAGGCGGCCACCACCTAGGTAACGCAGAACATCCTCCTCCGAGGCACACTCGAGCAGGGCCTTTGTGTTGATCAGCCTCGCCGTCTCCCGAATGTTTCCGTAACTGTCGAGGATATACTGGCCGTCAGGGGTGACCAGTTTCGATGGCGGCAAGTTCCGCACGAAAGAAACTATCTTCATGTAGTTGGCCATATCCTCTTCGTCAAGCGTCCCCGCCCGCACGATGTACCCACCTGTTCCCCGAGAATAATGATCCAGGGACCACTCCACGTGCACCCGAGGCAGCATGACGGCCTCGCAACGACCATCCACTATCCTCTCCCCTTCCGAATATAACGAGCGGACCTCTTCGTGCGTGATAGGGCTGACCACGAAAAAACGACTCTTGAAATCTCGAACGGAATCCATGTACGTCCTAAAAAGCCTGTCCGACTGCTTGAATGACACCCAACCATGCTGACCTCCCACCGACTGCCGCTGCAGATGGAAAATGCGAAAGAACAACGGCAGCGTGACGCCGACCTGGAGATATTGGCACACGAGCTCGAAGGCCCGAATAAAAGCCAGGGCATTGGGGTGCATTTGTGACGAGGCCAGCCTCAGCCAGTCGAAGAGGCCCAGATGAAAGTTTGAAAAAGGCAACCTGAGCCTAGCCTCTTTGAAGTAAAACTCATACATCGAAAAGCGCATACGCCCGTATTTCGAGCAGATCCGATGACCTGGCCGGGGGCGGTAGACTTGCCAGTTTTGAGGATCCCCCTCTTCCCGGTCTTCCACGGTGGCGTAGGCCCCCGTCGGATCTGAAGCAAAGCAGGAGGGCGTGGTGATGGGCTCCTCGGCCACCCAGTCTGCGATCGGAACGACGCGCTCGTCAAAATAGGGAACGTCCGACTCATTGTCCTCGACCATTGTGCCCAAGATAAGCGTAGTCATTAAACACCTGAAAAGCAGAAGGTAACGGTGAATTCGATGACAGAGATTAAATTCACCCTTCCACCGCAAGTCAAGTGAAAGGGCGACGAGGACTCCCCAAGCATCGTCCCCGGTGGGTCTGCCCTAACCTACCCCCTCCCCGGTTCCGTGTGGCCCGAACAACAGACCCACCTCGGAGGCATCCGTCAGAATAGACGTCGCTCCCCGGGGCGTTCATCGGAGTAAAAAAACGCTCCCCGGGGCATTCATTGAAAAAGGCTGCCCTCCCCGGGACATTCATCGGAAAAGACTTCCGTCCCCGGGACACTCATCGGATCTAGCATTTCTCCATGGTACATTCATAATAAAAACCCTAAAAAACCACCAAGAACGGCGGAGATTTCGCCGCTCCTCGGGGCATTCAATCGGCCCCGGCCACGCTCAAGAAACAAACAAGAAAAGCAAGAGAAAAAGAAAAGGGAAACTTACTATGGAAAAATTGACGACGGAGAACGCGGCGGCGGTAACGGCGATGATATCGGAAGGCGGCGGAACGACAGGCTGGAAATTTGAGAATCAGAGGGCGAAAAGTGAGAAATGAGCAGGGGCTCGCTCATTTATACCCCTGCACGGGACTCGAAGCGTCGTTAGACACTTGAGTACCCTAGGGTAGCCGCCCTAGCAGCCACCCAGAATGCGACACGTGGCGGAAGCAGACAGACGTGTCTCTTCACCTCTCCCCGCCAATACCCGCCTTCGAGCCCGCCCGACCGATGACAATAAACGCGCGTCTTCACACGTGGAGTCTTTTCCCGGACCAGTCCACTTCCCCGGAACGACGTCATCAAGTCCTCACTCCCATCTTCGGAGCAACGACTTGGGGGCTCTTGTTCTGGACTGGGCCCCGGGCTGAACTATGCTGGCCCAGCCCAGTAATGTTCCACCAGGCCCTGCCCGGTCCGGGTACCGCGTCAAGCACAAGATCCCCGACATGCTATAATGATCTCCCCGCGAAGGAGAACCGTCCCAACCACGCCGGGCAAGAGAATCGCCCGCACGACCAAGCACCGCCCTCCGCGGGCGGTATTCCCATGCCATCGAGCAAGACCCCCGGGGAATCTCCCGGGCTCCCCTCTGCGGGGAGAACAACGTGCCATGCACACGCTCTCCACGTGCTCCCCTCCGCGGAGACCCGTCATCTCCCAACTGCCCACCTCCGAAAGAGCAGGTCAAACCCACTTTCCGGAGATCACAGGACAGTTGGACTAGGGCGAAGACCACGTTCTGGTCTTCACTACGCCACGTAAACCCTAGCAGTCATTAGGGTTGAGCCTGGTCATCCAGCCCACCTCAAATGACCGTTGGCCCAACACTGGGGTCTCTCTATAAATACCCTCTTCCACAAGAGGGTCAGGTAATTCGCTTCTTACCCATTTTCTGTACTTGGCTCTCACTCTGCCCAACTCCTTACTTTGGCATCAGAGTGTTTTGCAGGTACACCCTCTTCTCCTCCTCATCACCGGTGAACAGGTAGCAGTCCAACAGCGTGTGGCCAGCCCGTGATCCCCTTCTGATCAGGTCAGATCAAAGCGTTTATTAATAAACTTCATAACTTCATTAACCAACTTTTTATATTTTAATTTTATTAACCAATTTCATTTATTTTACTATTAAAAGTCACCAGACACAAACATTATTCACAATTACCATTCAGAATTGATCGTACCTGACCAGAAGGGATCAACGATCTGCCACGCGTCGAAGATTTAGATGCTGCTCACCAGGGTGTTGAAGAGGAGGAGGAGGTGTACCTGAAACACACTCCAATGCCAAAGTAAGCGACGGGCAGAGTGAGAGCAAGTACAGAGAGAGAGAGTAAGAAGATTAAGTTACTTGACCCTCTAGTGAAGAAGGTATTTATAGTGAGACCCCGGCGCAGGGCCAATGGTTGCCTAGCACTGGGTTGCCAGGCCCAATGTTGGCAATTGCTAGGGCTGACGTGGCATCATGGAGACCAACACGTGGTCCACGCCCTAGTGTAACTGCTCCGCACTATCCGGGAGGAGGAAGACCGGATCTTTCGGAAGTGGGTAGTTACCTTATGACGTGTCCCTGCGTGAGGGGCACATGGAGATCATGGGGGAAACCTTGAGGAGTTCCCCGGCCATACGTGACCGTCTGGTCGGACGTGAGGGTCCTAGCCGACGATGAGGAAAGGCGAGGCTGGATGGTCGGCAACCAGGGTCCTGCTCGGCCGCTGAGGGCCTTCGCCCTGCTCGGATGAATGTTGTGCCCCCAGGTCCCATCTCGACAGCGTGGTCCTATTGGGTCCAACCTCAATGGGGTTTGGGCCTGTTCGATTGCGGGCTAAGCCTCGACCCAGTCCAGAACAAGAATGTTATTGTTCATAGTTAGTATTTACGCACTATTCATATCATTGTTCATCATATTTGTGAATAATGACTACAATGTAGTGTATGATGATAGTGTAAGAATAACAATGATGTTTTATAATTGAAAGAATTTTTTAAAAATGATCCATTAGCACCGGAATTGTGTTTTGTTTACACTTTTTATTACGACAATCTTAGATTTATATTGAATTAAATAAATAGATATTATATGTCTTTACAAAAATTATATATTTTATTTTTTATTTCTGAAAAATTTTATTATTTTTAGTTTTTACAAAATCATTTTGTAATCAATTGAAGTCTTCACTATTAACTTAAGTTTTATTTTGAGATTTTGATATTAAAAAATATGGATATATTTATAATGATTATTTTTGAAAACAAAAAAAAAATTTAATTCTAATTTTCCCCTAGTATTTAACCCTAACATTTTTTTAAGAGTTTAGATGTCTTCTCCAAATCCGACCAAGGCATAATTACCATTACAACCCTACCCCTACCCACTGTATTTTTATTTTCTTTTTCTTCTCTCGTTCGTTTTGTATCAGATTCAGTGCTTTCTCTTACCTTCCATTTTTAATTCATTTTTCAATTAATCCTTCTTTTTATTTTATTTTTTCCTTCAAATTTCTCACTGTATCATCTTTTTCCTTTTTCTTCTTACTTTTTCCCCTTTTCTCTTCACTTGACCTAAATCAATTCCATTTTTTCCGTGATCGATTGCACCCTAATTTTTCACCTTACTCTCCTCTCTAGAGTATTGTTCTTCTTGTTATTCTTTTGGTTCTGTTACTTTGATTTGGCGCTGAATTACGGATCAGAGAGTGGCGGTGTTGATTGTGAAGGTGCACTGTATGTTTGAGCATTGAAGAGGAGGGGATTGTGTTCTCTCCTCTGTTCCGCCGTAGAAAATTCCGGTGGCAGAGGCTTTTTGATAATAACTTATTATCGTTGTTGAGATTTGTGGTTGATTGAATTTTTTTTGTACGTGGGGGAAAATGTATGCTTCGGTAACTGATAGGGGATACGAGGGGAGTGGTGGAGTTTCAGGACCTATTTTGATTCCGAAGCGTTTTGTGTGGCCTTATGGAGGAAGAAGAGTGTTTCTCAGTGGTTCTTTCACCAGGTATTCGATTTCGTGGTTGTTGCTGTTCTTAACTATCGATATTTATTAGTTTAAGATATGGATATGATTGATGGAATTTTTGTAATTTATTTGATTTACTGATGTTAGTTTTTTTGTGTGGGGATAGATGGTCAGAACATATACCTATGTCTCCGATGGAGGGATACCCGTCGGTGTTTCAGGTTGTTTGCAGCTTGATGCCGGGATATCATCAGGTTTTTTTTTTCTTCGGACATGGGAAGAAAAAATCTTTATAGTTACTATGATTAGCTTTTTTTCTAGGTTCTTTTACTTGTGTTGTTTTTGGCTGATTACTGCCGCGGGATGGGGTTGATGTTATGTTTACTTTGAACTTCGTGTTGTGAGATAGTGAGAGGGTTAGGATTAAGATTTTACTTCAGAATTTTGAGAAACAGTAATGAAACTTTAGCGATAACTTCTAACTTTCATTAAGAGTTTGTATTTCTATTTGATTAGTGAAATTGGGGTGGCTTTTGTGGATTGCACGAAAACTGTCTTACTACCTTTTTGGAGTTATGGAAAGGAGTGAGCAAGTAAATGTTAATGGTTGGATTTGAAACGTGAAAACAGTTGGGTGGTTGTTTCTATTTTGACTGTTTTCACGTTTCTATTTTTTTCTAGGTTCTTTTACTTGTGTTGTTTTTGGCTGATTACTGCCGCGGGATGGGGTTGATGTTATGTTTACTTTGAACTTCGTGTTGTGAGATAGTGAGAGGGTTAGGATTAAGATTTTACTTCAGAATTTTGAGAAACAGTAATGAAACTTTTGCGATAACTTCTAACTTTCATTAAGAGTTTGTATTTCTATTTGATTAGTGAAATTGGGGTGGATTTTGTGGATTGCACGAAAACTGTCTTACTACCTTTTTGGAGTTATGGAAAGGAGTGAGCAAGTAAATGTTAATGGTTGGATTTGAAACGTGAAAACAGTTGGGTGGTTGTTTCTATTTTGACTGTGGATAAAGTCATATCATGCAATGTAAGCAAGCATGTTTCCTTAAAAACTGTATATTCTGCTGGACAGGTAGGCTAGGGTTTTACATGCATCATTCATGGTATACCAATCAGACAAAGACTATCCTAACCTAGAACATGAGCAGCAGATTTGCTTGTCCTAGTAGTGTGAGGCCTGTTTCATCATGCCAGGGCTTGCGCTCACCTTTTTGGTGATGTATGTGAGGGCAGACCAGCCTGTGAGCTATGCCTTTTGTATTGAACTGAGAGACTAGTACTTTGAACTCACCTCCATTAGTTTGAACAAACCCTGACCTTAATACCAAATTGGACTTCAATAGCAGTGAGCAAGTGTGTGAAGATGACACACATCAAATTTCAACTTAATAGGGAACACCCAAGTGTACTTTGTAGAAGCATCAACACAAGTATGTGTTTGTAGCCACAACAAGAAATCATTGGAACACGGCCCCATATATCAGCAAACAATCCATAAACATGTGCAGTGTAGTGTGATTCAGATGCACATGTCTAGAGATAATTATGTTAACTTTTGATAAGATGTTCCATCATTTCTTCTGCATTTAATAAGTAGACAGTCTTTGATGTTTTATTTATCTGTATTATTTTACTTTCCCATGCTCTCACTTATGTCATGTTGTTATGTATAATACCATCTACCTGTTGGCATAGTATCTGATATTCAGGGAAGCCATACTGCTGACAAGGACAATATTGTTTCCAAATTATGTGCAGTACAAATTTAATGTGGATGGTGAATGGCGTCATGATGAGCAACAACCATTTGCAAGTGGGAACTATGGAGTAGTAAATACTACTTATTTAGCGAGAGAGCCTGATGTTTTATCTGCCATCTTAAGTGCCGAAACACCCAGTAGGTCCCACATGGAGGTTGATAATGATGTCTTTGGGCATGCAGTAAGTCTCTTCTTCCTTCCCTCTTCAGCCTCAACTTTTTAATGTTCCATATACTTTAATGCTCTCATCTCTACTTGAAATTGATAATGATGTCTGGTATGTTGTTCTCTCCTCCCTGTCATTGGTCTGTTCATTCCAACACAACATGATTGGCTTAGTATCACAAGTTCTACATTGGCTTTGTGGAAGAAACTGAATATCCATTTAATGCACTGGCTTTCCTCTCTAAACAGACTGGCTTTCCTCTCTAAACAGACTGGCTTTCCTCTCTAAACAGACTGGCTTTTAGTATGGTGGTTCTCCTTTTACATTACTAATGCTATGTCATCATTGTCTTTAAACTAGGGCTGCATTTGTTTAAAAACCATGCATGCCCTTGTTGTCCTATTTATACCCATTGATATTTTGAAGACTGCTTTTGAAGTTTGCATTGAACTTTAGGGAAGTTATAGTAGGAATTTCTGAGTCTGATGAAGGGAGAGGACAATATAACACTTTAAGTTGTAAAATGCTGAGGATCTACCTACACTTACACCCACCCAAAAAATAAAGTTTTTTTCTTCCTGAAAAATGTAGCCTGAAAAATTGTAGGAATTGGCAAGCAATGTGTGGCTGCAAATATTATATTAGTAAACACCAAAGTCAGAGTTTGTTGTAAATCTGAGATTTATAATCTATTTAGAAGAAATACTCAGAATACATATATTTTGGGTTTACCCTTAGTCTCTGAAATTCATTTTGGGCTCCGTCAGTGTTTGAGTCAAAGTGATTATAGATACAACCGTTTAGGATGATAATGGTCTCCCAACACCTGTTTTATCCGTTTACAAAACTTAAACTTGAGACCATGTCTAAGAGGAATCAAATTTGTTGCCACTCATACCAATAGGTGTTAGTAGAAATAATGATGGTGTATTTAGTATTTACTTTTGAAGTGATATTCTGCCTTGTTCCTTGTACTATAGTGGCTTATCCGGAAAAAATCACAAGTGGCAAATGTGATTCTCATTGGATATTTGACCTGCTTGCAAGACCTATTATGTATGTCTGATTCCATGAAAGATTTTGATCATATTGCCGCATTGGAGCTGGGAATGGCTTTCTTCTCTTATTATGAGAACATTTAATGGAACTCCGATATTCCCCATTATTTTGAGAACAATTTCTTTTATTAGCTTCAGATGCCTGAGAATGACTTAAAAGGGAAAGACTCTATATTGGTGTATTTTCTCAATTTTGTTAATCAATCTTTATTCTAGTTAGTATTATTCTCTTGTTTACACAATTCTTGTTAGAGATACTGAGTTACGGCATGACAGTTGGCACAAGCTGACATGCTGTTATTTTATGTTAATTTCTGCTATAACAACATGCTGTTTGTTTATGTTCTGACGATATGCAGTCAGTTTCTGTTATAACAGCTCCTTGAATTCAGGAATTGTTCCCTTGATTTAAGGGAGTTAGGTCAGTCTAACTACAACTCTATAATAGAGTTGAATTTATTGTATTCAGTTACAATGAAATCATAATAATCGATTCTGTCGATGCTATGTAACAATGAAAGTATTTATCTAGGCCCAAACCTTGTATCACAGTGGTCCACAAAACAGAATTTAGTTGCCCATTCCAGTGCAGATGCAGATACAGGAGCCTTACCACTCTATCTACTGAAATTCTTTATCTTCAGTCCCCTCTTTGAGTTACAAATTAAGTTTCACAGTCCTCAGATACCATGTGACAATTTAAGCATTGTCTCTTTGGCACACAATCCAACTGTCCATAGCTAAACAAAACACATGGAGCTTGACATATTCTTTGCCAGGTGAAAAGTAATGAACAAAAGTTTAGTTGTGTCTCAAGCTCCAGCTCAAGACCAATGGGATGACGTGCTCACCAAATCTCTATCTGCAGCACGTTTCATCAATCTCAGAGACAAATTGAGTCTTTGACAAATCCATAGTCAAACAGAAACCTCCAATTTCTAAGGGGGTACTTTAGAGATACTGTCAGTTAAGGCATTACGTCTGGCACCTGTGCTAGCTGACATACTGTTAGTTTCTGTTATAACAGCACGCTGTTGGTTTATGCTATTACAGTATGCAGTTAGTTTCTGTTATAACAGCTCCGTGAATTCAGGAACTGTTCCTTTGATTTAAGGGAGTTTTTGTTATAACAGCTCCTTGAATCTATTGTATTCAGTAACAATGAAAATATAATAGATTCTAAAATTTCAATAATTCTATACAGTTTTTGGGAATTCTTTTACACAAAGAAAACATCCTAACAGGTTCCCTTTCAAAATTTTCTTTCTTCCCTCTAGTGATAAATCTTTAGAATATAAATGAAAAATAAATTGATGCTGGGAAGTGTTGAATCTTACTTATTTTTGCTATGAAAATTTAGGTCTCTTACTTTTTCTTTTATATCCTCATCTCATTTCAAATGGTGTCAGATTTCATGTCATAATCCTTGATTCCTTATAGTCTTAAACTATGCGCTACACAATACAGTTGCTTAACTTGAGAACTTTACCAGGAAGCTAATCCAAGGATATCAGAGTCTGATCTGGAGGTCTCTCGCCACCGTATATCTGTATTCTTATCTACACATACTGCATATGAACTGCTTCCTGAATCTGGGAAGGTTTGAATGATTTTTCATTATCAATTTTTGTCTGTCACTTCCTCAGTCAATAATAGTTTAAGACTTATTTCATGTTGGATCATTATTGTTTGTAATTTATTATATTATAATAATAATTGCAGGTCATTGCCTTGGATATAAATTTACCAGTTAAGCAAGCATTCCATGTTCTGTATGAGCAGGTATTTCTCCCCTTTTTAAGATATATTCATTTTTCCTTTGCATCAGGGCACACACCCATGCTGGTATATGTATTTAATGTTACCTTTTTTCAGGATGTACCTATGGCCCCTCTATGGGATTATTGCAAGAGTCAGTTTGTTGGTGTGCTTAGTGCAATGGACTTCATTCTCATATTGAAAGAGGTTTGTGGGTAATAAAACGATTATGCAACCCTTCTGTGCCAGTTTTTGGCAAAAGTCAAACCCTACAAACTATAATTTTAATAGGGTCGTCATTTTAAGTTATTTTACAGCTGATTACAAAATGATAAAACAGAAAAACTTAGCGGGCAAGAAACAGTATTAAATTTTTTATAAGAATCATGTTATCCTTATATTAGGCTAATAATAGATCATTTGTGAAGCTCACATGAAGATTATTTCAGCTCGTACAATAACATTGTAAATATTGTTTAGGGAGAAAGCCAAAAAAAAATGCATTATGAAATTCTTTGATGCTCTTATCTTTGGGCTACATGTCTTCTAGTTCTTCCATTGTAGATAAGTGTGGTTGGTCTATATTCTTGTAAACATAACTGCTATCATTATTGCTCATTGCTACTCTTTAGTATCTATGATTCATAGCCCCCCTCCTGTAGTTGAATGCATGATTTTTTTGTAACATCTGTAATTTCAGTTGGGGAGTCATGGATCAAATTTGACCGAAGAACAACTTGAGACTCATACTATAGCAGCCTGGAAAGAGGGAAAATTAAAGCAACGCAGGGCACTTGATAATAACGAGGGATCAAATCGTCCTTGTTTTGTTCATGTAAGTGCACCTGACGGCTGTGATAAAGTTTTCATGTATCTAAGTTCTCCCAATTTCGTAGTTTGTAAGTTGTTCTACCAATGTCCTTTAATGTATTTGTCTATAGTTTTGTACCAGCAGCTTTCCATATGATTTTGTCCCAACAGTTATGCCGTACTTCTGCTTCTTTCCTTCTCTCAAATATTCATCATTCCTGTTCTCTCTACAGTATTCATCATTTTGTATCATATAAATGTTGGTAGCTTCTTTTGCATTTATATGAATGAGAGTTCAACATTAAATGTTGAAGAAAAATGAAATTTTGCTGTGTACTTAACTCTGATGTTGTTTGATTTCCCCTCTATCAAAAAGAACTAGAGGTAAACTCTTGAACTATTTATTATACTTTTTATTTGTCTTTGATCTTCAGGCTGGGCCCCATGAATGCCTAAAAGACGTGGCTTTGAAGGTTTTGCAAAGCAATGTGTCAACGGTTCCTATCATTCATTCTTCTTCAGAGGATGGTTCATTTCCCCAACTGCTGCATCTTGCTTCCCTATCAGGACTTCTAAAATGTAAGCGTCCAGGCCTGTTGTCTATAGATAAATGGGTTGGAAGTTGGAACTGATGTTTGGAATACGTTTTCAGGTATATGCAGGCATTTTAAGCACTCTGCTGGTTCTTTGCCCATTCTTCAACTTCCGATTGGTTCAATACCTTTGGGTACGTGGGTGCCTAAAGTTGGGGATCCAAATGGACAGCCACTTGCAATGCTAAGGCCAAATGCTTCTCTTGGTGCTGCTCTAACGATGTTTATTCAAGGTGATCGATCATTCTTATGCTTTAATGTTAAAATCACGATTCTTTAGTAATGACAGTTTTGTTATAATCACGGTACTTTTCTAGTTCATGATTTTGTAGTAAAGATAGTTTTGTTAAAATCACAGTACTTTTAACCTTTTTTTGGTATAGCTTTTGATATCCTACATGAACATGCTTTCACTTTGTAGCTAATGTTAGCACAATACCGATAGTGGATGACAATGACTCATTGCTTGACATATACTCAAGAAGGTACTATTTTCTTCCTCCCCTTTTTGTGTGATTCTCATATTTACAATTTGAAAAATTATTTTCATCATATATAATTCATACCTATTATTTTCTTTGCAGTGATATTACTGCATTGGCTAAAGATAAAGCATATGCTCGGATATCTCTAGACGAAATTAGTATTCATCAGGTACCTTCTATATGTTGACTTTTGAGATATACTAGGAGTACATCTGTTTGGCTGTGTTGTCGGTCAGCGATAAATAAGTGAATCTAAATATCTGCGCTCATGGTTGTAGGCATTACTCTTGGGACAAGATGCAAATTCTTCTTATGTGCCTAACAACAGCCACAGATGTCATATGTGTTTGAGGTCTGACTCGTTGCACAAAGTGATGGAGCGTTTGGCTGATCCCGGTATTACTTTGTTCACTGATAAATAAACACATGCTTGCTCGTTCCTATGCTGACTGGTTTTCTGCACGTTACAGGGGTTAGGAGACTTGTGATTGTGGAGGCTGGTAGCAAGCGTGTGGAAGGGATTATTTCATTATGTGATGTTTTCAGATTCTTATTGGGCTAGTTGGGATTTATTGGAAGGGAACTTTTCTGTTGGCATTTGTTTTCTATTTATCATAGTGTTTGGTTGGGTGAACATCTTTTGTTGTTTGCCCACATCCTTTCTTAGGATAGGAATTGTAGAGAAAATTCTGTAAATTGAGGATCGGTTTTCTCTTTTGTGCCGGCACATCTGCAATGTCTGTGTCCAGTGCTAACAGAATTCAAGGAGAAACTTCAGCAACAAAAAATCAAAATAAAAATAAGGACTAGGAAAAGATGAAATATTTAGCCATATGCAGCACCATGCATGCGGTTTGGCTGGTTGTATCCTTGTAATTTAAGGTTTATTTTTTCAGATAATTATGACCTTATTTTTGTCTTTGCAGCTAAAATTTCAGACGTGAATTGGCCAAGCTGTCCTTTGGATTATGAGCAAGAGTAGCGATAGATGTTTTAAGTCCTAATTATCTTTTTTATGAACTAAACAAAGAAAAAGCTAAAAATCTGTTTAGGAGTTTGAAAGATGAGATTCAAAGACTTTGGAGAGAGACTAGTAGAGGGGAAAATAGATGATTTTAAATTCTTTGAAAAATATTTTTGTATAGAATGATCAATGAATATTTGTTATTAATATATAATAATATTTAGAAATCAGGATTGGATTTAGATAAATTAGGAATTTTTTCAGTCTTTTAAATGAAGATTTTGTATTAAAAAACAATACTCTTCCCAAAATTAAAAAAGAAAAACTTAAAATCCATAGACATAATCATCAACAATTTGATAGGGAAAAAAATTCTTCAAGGAATAGATAGACAATTTAACAAGCATCTCCAAAATTTGGGAAACCACCAGGTAGCAAAATTGTATACTACTGCAACTATCCATGATCAACCAAACTGCTATTTTCAAGCACCAATTTTAAACAAAATCAATTTGCTCAAAGTTTTGCCATAATTGTTGAACAATCACCAATTTCCGTCTCCCCATTTTTTAAAGACTTAAGATGGTTAATCATTTGGTTTACCACTTTCTCTATAAAAAGCTCGCTTGACTTTTTAGATGAATTTTCACTTTCATTACAAACTAGAATACATTTTGTCTTTGTGAAATCAATTTCTTCAAACTTCTTGTGATTTCTGATTACACTGCTCTCTGCCCGTGCTCTCTGCCCTCTTCTTCTCTTCTTCTGTCAGAGTAATGTGTCCTTTGATTTATCATCAACCTTTCACTCTTTTTCCTTACCGTCGTTTCTTTGATTCACCTTTCTCTCATGTACTATTTCTCGCATTTGAATCTTATTTCATACTCTCTATTTCTTTATATTTGCTATGACCTATATAGATGACAAACCTGCGAGTTTAAAGAGTAACTCCGATTGTGGCGATTGTTGTGACAACAAAAACTCCAGATAACCCAAATACTACTTTTGCAACAAATAACCACACTAACTCAAACCTCGTAGTTGTTTTGATAGTTCTCAACCTAATGATGTTTCTAGTGAATCTTCTTTTGACGAAACTTTTTTTAATGAGTCTTCATATGCTTTCTCCAGTGAGTGTTGGGAAATCCACTAGTGGCGTTTGAATTGAGAATGTTGCCTCTGCCTCCCGAGGGGAAAGTGGTAGCTCCCTCCCACATGTATGACCTTTACTAGACGCAAATATTATTACTCAATATTTTATTAGGTCTTATAGAATTGCACAAGGTCAGGATCCTAGCGAGGTCGAGATTATGGATCATATGAAACTCCAAAATCAAACTTCCATGCTCGGCTAGCGTTGCCTGTCGTCCGAGGGTCGGGAAAATACTTCATCTCGGGAATCAAATGACGCAAACCTGTATTATTGGGTAGATCCTAGATTGTCGAGTACCATCTATCTTTTTGATGACACAAACAAAGTATAAGGTGCTCTCATAGAAGTGGGTATGCATATTGATTTGACGATTATCACTGTTGATATTGACAAAAGGATTTGAAGCTATTTTGATGGGTGTTCCATCTTTTTTTACGTGTATGTTTACTCAGTTGAATTTTATGGATCTATGTGCTTGCAAGTATGACGTATCTAACAACCTATTTGGAATTGATGTTGATAACACTCTAAAGTGAAGTCTTTGTCAGAAATGCTGATCAAGTTCACTTGGTGTTATTGATGACAACGCTTTGAGGTGAAGCTCATTTATGCGATGATAGAGTTGTGGTGCTTGGAGATCAAGTTATCAAAGCTTATATCTCGAGGACAACACCTAATATCAAGTGACATTCAGTAAAGTAAGTGAAGATCTCTGCTCAAGCTGTATGTTTAACCATGTTGCTAATCCTAGATTTATCTCAAGCCTCATCGAAAAATATTCAAGGTTTCATTAATGTTCTAGAGTCAAAGATAATGTAGCAAGCACTACGCCAAAAGTAGTTTTTGGCAGCACTACAAAGACAACGCTTTTCCATAAAAGCGCTGCTAAAAGATAAAAAAAAAAAAAACAAGGGAAAAAACACTGCTAAAGGGGGGCATTTAGAAAGCGCTGCTAAAAGTCATAAGTAAGTAACCAATAGAAAGCGCTTTTGGGGAAAGCGCTGTTAAATCCCAACAGTAGAAAGCGCTTTTGGGGAAAGCGCTGTTAAATCCCAACAGTAGAAAGCGCTTTAAAAAAGCGCTGCTATAGGGGGTACCTTAGACAACGCTTTTTAAAAGTGCTGCTACAGGGGGTGTCTAGGTCACACTTTAGACAACGCTTTTCAAAAGAGGTGCTAAACAACTAGCATATGAAAGCGCTTTTTCAGGGAAAGCGCTGCTATAGGGGGGGGGGGGGAGGGAAGAAAGCGCTTTTAAGAGGCGCTGCTATAGGTCTGTTTTCTTAAATTAAAACAAAATCCATATTTTGTTTTTGATGTATTCTGTTTCACTCTCTCACTCTCAGACGAACATCTGAACTCTACTAGACCTCCAACCACCATTTCTTCCTCTGTCCAGCCGTTCTTCCGTCGTTCATCATCTCGAACCGCCGTAGCAACCTCCGACCTCCGTTTCTTCCTCACGATTCTGACAGCTGTGTTCCACACCATTGTTGAAGGTATTTCTTCATTTGCTTCATTTTCTTCAGTTTCAAAGTTATTTGCATGATATTTGTTTAATTGTTTAATTGTTTATTTGTTTACATTGTGATGTTGTTGTTATTTAACTTCAAAGGAAGTTTGAATGCCATTTTAGCAGTAAGGTTCAAGATGATGAATGGTGAGGTTTGTGGTGATTTTCTTTTGACTTTTAGTGTTAATAATTTTATAGGTTAGTGTTGAATGTTAGTGATGATGAATAGTGATAATGACTTTTTCTTGATCGAATATTTTTATTGCAAATGATAACTAAATTAATTGTTAATTGTTAAGGTTGAAGATGGTGAATAGTGATGACATTGTGAATTTATTTTTTATAATTGATGATGTTGTTGATTGAAACTTGAATGACATTCGTCAACAAATTGTTGAATATTGTGATGTTGTTGATTGTTTGAACTTAAGTGACGAAAAATTGTTATATTTGGTAATTTTTATGTGGATTTGATAATTTCGGTGATTGATTTACGCTCGAATTGATGATTTTTTGTGACATACTTGAGTTAAAACATTAAGTGTGATTAAATTTGCGCGTTTGCTATAGTTGGTTGGTAGCTATAATTGCATGAATAATTAGTGTTTTTGTTTAGCTTACTTAGTAAAAACCATGGATAAAAAATGGATGTCTTCCAATCGATTGTCAAAAGAGTACGAGGATGGGGTATCAGAATTCGTTAAGTTTGTTGTTGAACACGCCAAAGACCCCAGTCGGATCACATGTCCTTGCTTAAGTTGCTGTTATAGGCGTCAGATTGACGCAGTTCAGTTGGAATCACATTTAAAGAGACATGAAATTGATCGAAGTTATACGTATTGGATATTATATGGTGAGATACGTAACGAGAATGTTGAACCGAGGGATAATAGGACCTATGCTTCAAAGGACAATGGTATAGATACATACGATTGTGATCGAGTCGAAGAGATTACAGAAGCACTTGAAGAAGATCTTCAGGATTGTCCCAAAATGTTTGAGAGGTTGGTAAGCGATGCAAAGAAATAGTTGTATAAAGGTTGCACTAAATTTACAAGATTGTCTGTGGTATTAAAGTTGTATAACTTAAAGGCGGGTAATAGACGGTCGGATAAAAGTTTCACAGTTATTATCACTTATGAAAGAGATGCTTCCAGATGATAATGTTCTTCCCAATCGAACCTATGAGGCCAAAAAAATGTTGTTCTCTATTGGCATAAGCTATGATAAGATACATGATTGTCCAAATGATTGCATTTTGTTTCGAAATGAATATGCATCCTTGATTGAGTGCCCTAAATGCGGTGTCTCTCGATATAAGAAAAAATTGTCTCCAACAAAAGTCTTATGATATTTTCCTATAAGTACGAGATTTAGCCGCATGTTTCATAGTGAAACCGATGCAAAACACTTTACTTGGCATGCAGATGAAAGAATTATAGATAGAAAGTTTCGACATCCGGCAGATTCACCACAGTGGATGAAAATTGACAATGATTATCTTGATTTTGGAGAAGAAGCGAGAAACCTTCGGTTGGCATTAGCTACTGATGGAATGAACCCACATGGTCTGCAAAGTATCTCACATTCCACATGGCCTGTGATTATTATGATTTATAACCTACCTCCATGGCTATGTATGAAGCGTAAGTACATGATATTATCTATGCTAATTTCTGGGCCTAAACAACCAGAGAATGACATAGACGTATACTTGACACCTTTAATCGAAGACTTAAAGATTTTGTGGGAGAACTATGTGGAGGTTTATGATGGATACAGGAAAGAAAGTTTCATTTTAAGGGCGATGTTGTTTGGCACAATTAATGATTTTCCAGCATACAAAAACCTATTAGAGTATAGCATTAAAGATCAATGTGCGTGTCCTACTTGCGAAGAAAACACAGAATGGACGCGATTGAAATTTTGTTAG